TACATACTTCGAGAAAAACTAAAAAGACCAAATTATGACCATTTTTTCATAAAAATGTATGTTTTTCTAAAAAAATACGTAATTAACTGTAATAAAAGATATCTTTATCAGAAAGAGTATAAAAATACCTTTAATTTGATATATAATTTTATTATTTTAGTTATTGAACATTTTTTATTACCAATCATATATCAAATTGAAGGTATTTTTATACTCTTTCTGATAAAGATATCTTTTATTACAGTTAATTACGTATTTTTTTAGAAAAACATACATTTTTATTAAAAAATGGTTATAATTTGGTCTTTTTGGTTATTCCCGAAGTATGTATGTATTATATATATGATATACATATCAGATTAAAGGTCTGTCAATTATCTTTCCAACCATATCCACGTTATTGAAAATTCCACTTTAACAACTTTTAACACACTTTAACTTGCATCAACAATTTTTTATACCGTCAGAATAAATGGATGAAGGCCGACAACATCCACTTTTTCTTTTTCTAGCTCAACGGGCTCTATTCTTTATATATCCCGTGATTCCAGTTTTTGATAAGTGAAAATATTCCGCCAAAAACAAATTACTACAAAAATTATTTTTCGCAGATAAAAAGGAGGAACTAACCTTTAACGAAGTGTATAGTTACTCCAACATAACTTTGCATAGTCGAAGAGTTTGTCCATATGTCCGATGTGAGGCATACAGATTTCGCCTGACTGAGTTCGTTTTTGACCTTTAATCGGATTGCACTATATTTTGTTTCAATTTTTGACGTCATTGTTTTTTCAGTAGGCACTTTATATAAAGGTTGCAACGTTTTGCAGAACTTTAAAAAACTCCCTTTTTCAGGTGTACAAAGTGGCATGTCGTCCACAACTATCATATACATTAACGCATTTGAAATTTCCTTCCCTTTGGTGCTGTTATCTAATATTACAATAATTACAGAACTTTAATAAATTTCAAAAGTTGAGATGTAAAATTTCTTTAATGCATACACACCAGAAAATGATACTGCTCTTTCAAAGGAATTTCGTATTGGGTAAACAGATTTAGACTTCTTTTGATTCGGCTAAAAAATTGTGTGAACAGAAAAGTAACAATATGTATTACAAATGAAACCCTAGGGAACTCATACCTCATTGTCATCATCGTTGTCCACAAGCTCAATGATGTCAGTTTTCTATAAATAAATGGAACAATTTTCGGTATTGAAATATATAAATTAAATTCCTTTACCTCCATTTTAATTTTGTGTACTTTTTCTACGTGGTTTTTTAACGTGGTTGTGCTGCTGTGGTACTTAAAGCATTTCCCGCACTTTACGCAGATCGCAATTCCTTTTTCTTTTTTATCGTAGTACTGCCACACAATACTTGGGCTCATTGTTAGTAATAATGTATGAAAAATTCAGTAAGCAAACTCAAAGTGTATACGGCGCATAAAATTATCGACTCTGCTGTAAAAAACCAAACTTTTATAACACTAATATTATACATTTTCACAATATTCTTACCTGTGTAAAATAAACGCAAGCAAATTTGCAGAATTGAAATGGGGCAAGTTAGGGATGCACAGAAACATCCATGCACAAAAACATCGATACATTGGAAACATTGATGTTTGCTATTCGAATCATCGAATAAAACCATTGTATTTTCTCTTCAATATACATCGATATATTTCAATTTGACAGCTGATGCGAATGAATGTTCACCAAATATACATTTTGTATTAAATTATTGTATTGTATTCATTGTATTAATGTCTTTTAGATTATAAATATGATTTTGCAGCTTATTAGATTAGAAGAGTATTGCTGACAATTCAAAGACAATTAATTATCTTTACTTTTACATCATCAATAAATCTATTTCACCTTGAGTTTATACTTAAACATTTATCGAAGTTCCGATTTTCAATTTCCTTGTACATTTTTATTAATTCATTCAATGCATCGAAAATATCGATTTTCATATACGGTGCATGAATTTATATTTATAAATGGGATTTGCAACTATTAAAAAAATAAACATATTTCACTTTGAGTTAATACTTAATAATTTATCTAACAGCCCTATTCCGCCACACTGACAAAACTTTTGGTATTCGCAGCAAAATTCAAAAGCTCGAATCATGCCAATTGTCATTTTTATTGTCATGACCTTTTGGGCAGGTGACAAGGCAAAAACATATGTTTGTGTTGGTTTAAAAAGTGCGACGATTTAATAAATTTGTGAAAAAAATATAAAAATCAACTAATTTCAATGGCAGAACAAATTTTTGTTATTTGCGCAACCGTGCTTGTGGAAGACGAGCAGCTCCGGATGCTCCCTACAAAACTTCACATAAAATTGCAGCTGCTCCTGCGTCGTCCGCTCATATTTTGCACGTCTAAAATATTTATAAATGTTATAAATACACGAATTTATCTATTTCACACAAATACTCACTTTTCTGGTGTTTCACCGCTCATATTTTTTGCAAATAATAGCGTTGACCAGCTGTTTCTACAACAATGAACTTTTCACCATGTCATTTTTTGTTAGGAATAGCAACGTGCAACGACAATGACAAAATCACGACAATGAAGGATGATCAATTGTCATTCTATTGCAAAACCGGAATAGGGCTGTAAGTCCGATTGTTCCATTTTCTTGTATGTTTTCAATTTATTCGATGCATCGAAAATATCGATTTTTATATACGATACATCGATGCATTAGAAAAAAGTCGATGTTTTTTTTGACTTGCATTCCTAAGTCAAACGTGGCGCCATCTAGAGTGACGCCAAATTTAGTCAAAAAGTCGCAGAGACGCAAATAAAGACGAAATTCGATTTTTTTCTAGAAAAGTTCGATTTTATCCGAATTTTAGCACCTCAAAGTTCGATTTCAAAAATTCGCCATTTCGGAGCGAAAATTCGATTAAAATTCGAATCTCGAAGCTTCGAATATCGAATTTACCCATCCCTACTGCATACTTGGCCTGGCCAGGCTGAAAATCACTACTTACTCGTATACACTTTTCCAGCGAACGCGTTGCTGTACATATTGTTGACAGCTAGCTAAAGGTTGCTTGGCAAGGGTTGCCGCAATTATGAGCCATCTTTATGCGCGAATTGTTTTTTCTGTACATGTACATATGTATATATATATATATGTATATATGTAAACATATTTGCATTGTGCAACATTGCACTTGGATATGACTCTCATATGCAAGGATATGCAGCATGCATCAGCGGCAGTGAATTCAAGAAAATTATCAACGTTAGCAAGAAAATCAACGAAATAATGTTAAAAAAAGTGTCACGCAACTTCAACGTTGAGTGTTTGGTTGCTGCCTTGGCTGCGATTTTCACTGCACTGCACTTCAGCGTTCAAGATATTCCCACTTTTTTATGTTCTTCGCTTCACTTCCACTTCCTTGTTTCCTCGCTCGCTGGCTGCTGGCTTTTATTTTTTCTTAGATCTCTGCGTCGTTCGACTGCTTTTTATGTTGAATGTTATTGTTGCTGTTGCTGGCAGTCTGTGTCGTTGCGATGATGTGGAAACAGCAAGACTTTCATTATTATTATTGTCAGTGAGGAGCAGCACCTTGCAAAAAGTGGGACTAGGTTGAATACTAGTACAGTACCAGGCTACCTTGTAACCAATACTAGTAACCAAAATGGTCCAAATTTATAGAGAAAATATGGTTACATTAACATTGCGATGTCATTGTACCACCGCTGCATAACATGGGACCACCTAGACAACTACTCCGATGGGCCACGAAGCGTAACAAGTTACTGGTATGTAACCTGGTCCTTTTGCACATGCTTTAAAACTAACGACCCAGTGGACCACCTGGCCCTCAAATTTTTGCAGGTTATATTGCTATTTGTATGTGTGTGTGTATGTGTGTATGTGCCTCAACTGCGGCAACATCTTGCACCTTTTGAATTGGATGCATATGTGCGGTTCAGTGAAGAGCAGATTTTTCAGTGTAATACATATTGTCAAATTACAGAGGCAAAAATGTATACCTTAAAGAGTGTGGTTCAATATCGGAGCGATGCACAGTGGTGTACAATCCCATAAATTTTTTGGAAAAACATAGGATTCGGCATAGAAACTAAATTTTCCATATCGCTACCTAAAGGTGAAAAGGTGCCAAGTCCATTTTTTGTTGTTTCGCATTATCTGCCATTCTGCATCAAAAATCAAATTCTGAAAAAAAGTGGACTTGGTTAGGTGAAAACATTTATGGACATAAATCAAGTGAGGGCCGGCCGCAGAGGGGAAACCCCTCCTGTTGGTGAGAAATATACATACAAATTTTCCATCACTTATTTTAGGATAATAAGGGTAAAAAACCTTTTAAGATCTCTGTAACTTTTTTTTTGAGCTAGCCTAACTGTTTTTTCTTGCAATTTGAGGAAAGAAGGGTATTGTGGATTCAGTGGCCTATTAAAAAAAAAAAAAAATACCAATCATCATAATTTTAAGAAAACATTGGTGAATTATAATATTTATCTCAATTTTTTAGTTTGAGTTTTAGCTATTGGGATTTAATAAATCTATTTTTTAAATCTACACCGTCTCCATTTCTATGTTCATATTTATTTCAAGATTATTATATTTAAATAAGTAAGTATTTGCTCACATTGTCTTTAAAAATAGTTATACAATATAAATTCAATTGAAAACATAAATCAATTCAATCTGAAATAGAAAAAAAATTTATCCGGCAACTGTTGGGAAAAGGAAAATGTAGATCAAAATTTCGTAATTGACATGACATGTAAATTTGAGGTTCTCATATCCATTGACATTGTATTTATTTATCAATATTATTGAAGATTTAACTTAAATCTACTGCCTTTCGAGATTAGATTTTGTATGGTAAATCTCCATACCACTGAGCGACGCGAATATGTACGTATCTATCCAGGTGGAGAAATTTACCATTTTTTCTCAAATTTATTTCAATTTTATTAATTGTCCGTCCGAAGCGGAAATTTCAGACTTTTAGAATGCTTCACTCGGCGAATAAGATTCAACAGATAGTAAATAACTGCCTAAGCAGGGGATCATATTATTAAGCTTGTAATGTGGCTTTTTTCTGCCCTAAAACTAGAAGACTAGAACTAGAACTAGTGAAATAAAAATTCTTCTCTTGAAAAAGGAGAGCAAGGGCTGGTTATAAAAAGTCTTTTTGCAAGATCTCCTGTAACAAGGACGCTCAGTTGGCTAGTTGGCTCACATGAAAAAAAACAACAGTTTATAAGGCAAACTTACCACAGTTCGTAGGCAACTGGCTGAGTCAGCTGGGGTCGTCGGTTCGAGTCCCGCTAAAGAAGTCTGACGAGGAAAAGTGGTGATTTCCGAAATAGCTATTACTTCTACCATTTTTTGTTGCTTTTCCACAATACCACAAGACTTTTTCACTAAAACCGGCCTCAAGCGCAATAAAAATGTTTGAATATAATTGTTATAAGGCCATTAATAACAAAAACTAATAACTTAAAAATATTTGTTTTGAATTTTTAAACAGGTGGCAACCATGTTCAAAGATATCTTCGAAGTAAACCTTTCTTAAACCGCTCTCGGTTGGCACCCATATTAAAATATTTCATTTACCATGGTAATTAAGTTGATTTTGAATTTTCAAACAAGTGGCAACCTTCGTCAAAAATATTTTCGAAATATGAAAGAGATTTGACACTTACATTAAAATATTTCATTAAACTTGTTAATTAAACTAGTTTTGAATTTCTAAGAAGGTGGCAAACCTCTTCAAAAATATTTTGAAATTAAGCTTGCCGACTTAAACTTAACTTAACCCGTTAGTTAATTTTTTCTTGAATTTCTAAACAGATGACTCTTGAAAAACGTTTTCGAAATGAAGATTTCTTAGACCTCTCGTTGATTTTATTCCCACATAAAATATTACCTTTAACTTGTTAATTAAATTGATTTTGAGTTCCGAAACAGGTGGCAACCCTCTTAGACATCATTTTCGAAATTAATCTTTATTAAAACTCTCTCGTTTAGTACATAGATCATAATATTTCATTTAACCTGTTAATTAAATTCATTTGCACATTTTGGACAGGTGACAATCCGTTTTCAAAGTTACTTACTGATAAAGTATGTCAAACGGCTGAGATTTTTAAAATCATACAATGACCACACCCACATCCCTTATAACGGTAATTTAAAGAAATGGGCAATCTTTGATAAATCAGTAACTACTGAAGCTTATTTATTCAAAATTTGGCTTTTGTAAAAGTTCTTTAGAAAAAATACGTTTATAACAAATTTTTTGGAGAATGGGCGCGATACCGCCTACTTATTACCTAATATGTGTATCTCGATAACCGTTCCATCAATTTCTACGAAACTTGGTATAATTATTGTAATTGATACGCAAAATCAAAACGTTGGAAATTCTTGAAATCGGACTTAAATTACGCCCACTTTTCATATAGCGCTAAATTTCAGGAGTGCTGGAACCAGAAATACTCTTGAAAGAAATAACGTTATTATGGAATTTTTGAAAATGGCCGTGATACCGCCCACTTATAC